TCCTGAGGAGGTGTCTACAGGTCGGCCATGGCAATGTGGTGATTAAGCGCCCTTAGGGCGTGCGAGGCACATCCAACGTGGTTCCGAGTAGGTCTCCATCATTTTGGATAAGGCAAGTCATCGCCTACGTGGTGCTGGGGTGTCACGCGACGATTCTGGGATTGCCACATAGCACACCATCACTAAAGGGCCAAATCAGCCCACATCAGTAATAAAATAAAATTTATTAAAAGGAAAAAAGAAAGTATAAAGGAGAGTGACTAGATGTCACTCAAGAGAGAAGAAAAAACAAACTTCAACTCAGCATAAGACCAACAGAAACCCAACAAACCACCTAAAAACAAACCCTCACAACAACCAAAATCACAAAACAGCCCAAAGCAAACACAACCTCAAAGACAGAACAAGGCAAACCCACTTCAAACCCCACAAAAACAACACCCTCTCTCAACAAGAACAGGAACAAAGCCACCCTAAAAAACCGCAACCTTTAAACCACTAAACTCTTCTTTAGGCTTTCTTGATCTTCAATAACTTCTTGCTTGGTCTAAACCCAAAGAGACCCCCTTTTAGTCTAGCGAAAACCTTTGAAACCAAAACATCTCAATGCTTTCTCTATTTTAGTCTTCTACTTGCTAAAACATTCTTCCTGGACATCAACCACCGCAGTATCTTTTTCAATAACAACTTCTTCCGGTCTAGCTGAACTTCTACACACCCTATTTGCTAGCAGGATACCTCATCTTATTTGTTTCACAGAAATGTCAAAAGAAAGTGTTATGCAGGAGAGAAGAATGAAAGAAGAGAGAAAAGAGAGAGAAGAAGAGAGAAGAGAGAACTGAGAGCTCAAAGATTACTGCTGGTGGCGCAGCTTTCTAATATATATACTAGGGCGACAACAACTAAAATAAAAAGGACCAAAAATACAATAGTACCCCTGTGGTACTATACATAGGAAAAATAACAATTGTTAACACTCCCCCTCAAGTTGGGACATAGATGTCAATCATGCCCAACTT